CATTGCCTGTGTTCATGTGAGTGCGAGAGAAAGTACATGTTTGTGTCTTTTTTGGATCATAAACTTAGCACAAAAAGTATGGAAATGTGTGTTTGGTAGATTATTTCTTTGCTGTAACAATACTTCTTGGCAATAAATCTTACTCCRTTATTTTCCCTTTTGAAATGTTGCCACATTTGTAAGGACATGCTGTTGCTGTTGACTCTTTTTTTGTGCTTCTGGTGCCCACAGGYGCTGCCAATCAGGTGATAGATATAAGATTTATTGCCAAGAAGCTTTTTTACAACAAATAAATGATCTCCATCCATCCTTTTAATCCGCTTCTTCCTTTCAGGGTCACTTGCGCACACATCCAGCAGTCACTGTGTGAGGGGTGGGGTATAGGCCGCAAGTCTATCACGGGACCGTAAAAATAAAGAAGAAAGAATCAACTAAACACTAATTTCCTTCCATTTTGTTCTATGTCGTCATCTGATTAACGTTTAAATTCATATTGATTCAAGATGTCCCCAAATAATCTTAGCAAACACAAAACTGGCTGTAATTTAGACAATTTTGCAGATATTAAGGAAAACTTTTTCATTGTAGTAGTTGAAAGTTTTCCCCAAGATACTGAGCTTTAATAAAGTGCACAAGACTTTCCTTTAAAACTTCAACATTCACACTTGAAGCCAACGRTGTCTGTGAGCAAAATGACTCAATAGACAGATTTTTATGAAAACCTTCAGAAAGTAATCACTGGATGTTTGGAGTTAAGCTGATTTAACATGGCTGCCACAGCTAAACCACCTCAGCAAACACAAAAAATGGCTATTGCGCAGTCTATAGGACAGATATCGAGTTGAAATTTTGTTACATCGCAGCTGAACGATATCTCCTCCATAAGCTTTAAGTGCTTCCAGGTCATGCATTTTTTCTAAATTTTGGTATGCAAGGCAGCAGGCAATATTCCTTCATTCAACAAATGCTTGTTTTATTGATTTAGAAAATATCGAACTTAAAATCAAGGCGTCTTTGCTTTTGCTTTGCCTAAATTCCCAAGGGACTGAAGTATGCAGAGATATGAGCAGCAGTTTACAAGAGACTAAATGTTTTATTGCTGTTTGCATTAYACACCATCGTTTTCTGCTCATCTCAAACCTTTGTATTGATGTCAGTTTAATTCACATTTCGGTAGTATTCCCAGTTGTTGGATCTGCACACTTCCACTTGTGGTGAATAAAATAGCTCATATGTTCAGTCTTGAATCATCGAGTGAAGCGATGTTGGTTTAAATACCATTAACTGCTCTTATTGTTWAACTCACTGACACCCTTAGGCATGAACGTTATGCACACTTTGAAAAGAATCAATTTAACTGCTTCAGGCACAACATTTATGTTTTTTTGAGTGATACTCTTGAGAATACAAAAGGAAAAAAAATTAATGTCTTTGACACAAAATGACTCAGATTGTAAAATCCACATCTCCACACACTTCATTTGGCATTTACGTATGCCCACAAATCCTGTAAAGAAAACTTTAATTTTTTTTCTCTCTGACCAGTTCATAAAAGAGTTAGCCATCATGCTGAGCTTCTCACATCTTTYGCTCTCTGCTCTGCATCAGCTTGTCTTATATCTTCCTCTGTAAACATTTAAATGACAGTTGAAGGAAACACTGTAGCATCAAGCCTGCGCTGCTTTATTACAAGGTCTTTGCACACCAGAGTGGCATTAACGGTTACACGGTTGTTGGTTTTTGTTCCAGAACACCAAATCTAATTTAAATGATTAGTATTAAAAATAAAAATTGAAAGGCTGCCTTAATTGCTGACTCACTCTCTGTTTGACTTTATTCAGAAGCATGCTATTGACTTAGTATTTTCTACATTTCTACAAAGAATGCTGTATGGTGGTGTAGATAGCATTGTTGCCTCCAAACATGAATGTTGGAGATTTTATTGTGGAGCTTGCATCTTCTCGTTTTGGATGTGTAAGAAATTGTTCAAATTGGATTCCTAAATATTRTGCAGAACCTGACTGAGTTCTCAGTTAAATGCTTATTTTCAKATCTACCATTTCCCTCCGAAGCCTCTCTGTGTTTCTGAGTCCAAACAAAATGGCTCCAAACTTACATGTCCTTAGATCATTAATAAAAAAAAAAAAAAATCTTGTCTCACCCCGGGGGGTTGTTCCTTTTATGTCAGCATTGAAAAGCCACACAAGTTATTTTTATGCTGCTATAGTGACGTACATAAAGACTGACTCCAATCGATCACTAAATACAACATAAAACTATCTTAAATTCAGTTAACTGGTCACAAAATATATTTCAGATGCATGGGTTTTCTCCAGCTACTCTGGTCCCCACAGTCCCAAAACATGCATATTAGGTTATTCTGCTGCTATAAATTGTTGCTAGGTGTGACTGAGAGCATGAATTGTTGTGTGTGTTGTGTTGTTTGTTCCTGTGGCTCCGCGACGTACTGCCAACCTGTCCAAAGTGTATCCCACCTTTTGCCCAATGATTGCTGGAGATAGGCACCAGTTCTCCATGACCTTGCAGGAACAAATGAAGACCGAGGTGAGTCAAAAGTGCCAGGACACCGTTTTATTTCAGAAAGAAAAGGGAAAATGRCACTTCTGAATACCCCAGAAAGTAATGGGTGAGAAAAAAACTGCTCTTCATCAAAAATGGCGGCCATGTTCTGAATGAAGCCTAAAAAAAAAAAACCGCTGTATTATTCAGATATGTCATTTTCCCTTTTCTTTCCAAAATAATAAAAAGGATGTACTGCGACTTTTGACTCACCCTGTGTGCAGCTGGATGTACAGTATACTTCCATTGATGGCTACTTTTCTAGTTAAACAGCCAAACTACTGTACACTCACATTTGAAGTCTGCCTAATTTAATTCTGATGAACTTTCAGACTGTCGGTAGATCATTTATGGAACATTTAGAAGCAAAGACTTCATTACAGCTTTTGCACCGGTTAAATGAAATAAAGATAGTGTAAACATTAGAGAACGTTCAAAGGCAAAAGCGTAACAGAARGATGAGACCGTATTGATCTCTGTTGGACATTTAAAGCCACAAGGCAAGTTTTTATTAAAGATGTAAAATGTCAGTGGGGCAGATTTGGGACTAAACGTGTATAATGGAGGCATTTAAAACTATTTTTTTATTTCTTTTTGCATTACAATTCCAAATACAGTCCACACTTGGCAGTAAAATATAAATCACTTTGCATGATGTTTGTTTACACAAAATATATTTAAGCCATAGACGAACTGATTTAAAACATGTAGGAATTGTTCCTATTTGAGTTTTTAGATTTAAAAAAACTGGAATTTTGGTTGAAGCCTGCAGCCGACACGAAATTCAACAGCACTGTTACTTAATGTACACAACCTTACAAATTAATAGTTTTTGTGAAGTATTCTGACACTGTTACACTCAAAAACTTAATTTATTTTCTAAGATTTTCTGGTAGCTAAATAAATAAATAAATAAATAAAAATACAAGGAGAAGCACATTTACATGAATTATATCTCTAAATGATAAAAATGTAGAAAGAACTAGGTAGATTTTAAAATTACGACACCACCTTAATAAAATCACGTCTGTAAATGAATATTTGATGCTAGGTTTTTCATGAGTTTGTAAACACTTTATTTCTGAAACGGTTAGAAAACAGTGCTGCTATCTTAATTTGACTTCAGCAATAAGAACAACTGCAGATTAATGTTTACTCAGTTTGCAAAGGAGCCAGTATTGTTCTTTTCTTTGTCTGAAGCACTGTAACTGCTGAGGATTTATTAAGTCTTAGCAACTTAATAAATAACTGCAGTACTAAAATTATTTATTTGTAAGRAACATTTTATACCTAAAAACAACCACAACAAACAACAAACCTGTGCTTGAAATTGACTTTTGTTCCCGCACAAAATCAGTTTCCTAAAACGATTTGAGTTTARCTAAACCATCAATTTTTAGTGTTCAATGAAACTGAAGGATACTGGTATATTGCTTAAGAAAATGCACTAAAATCCCAAATTATCAGTCAGCCGATGTGTAAAATCCTTAACGGTTTTAAGCTGTTAGATAAAGGAGTTGATGACCTAAAACATTTTAGAGCAGAGGTTTTCAGCTGTTCCTCACTGTCCTGCATGTTTTAAATGTTTTAAATGTTTCCCAACACACCTGATTCAAATAATTAAATACTCAGCAGAAGTCTAGCAATCCCTCATCTTATTTAGTCAGGTGTGTTGAAGCAGGGAAATGTCTAAAACATGAACAGGCTTAAAGACCTTTTTTGTTTAGAAAAAAACTCTGATGATATTATAAAGGTAAGCTCCATAAACTTAATGTTGGAATAAAACTGTAAGCAATTTGTTGCATTTTGGCAGAAACCTTGATTTCATCAAATAAAGCTGAACACCATCTTTTCATAAAGTAAAATCTAACATGTTTTTTCATCTTTGTCATATGTTTCATCACAAACTCAGACGCAATCTTTGGCAGTTAATCCTTAGATTTACTTTAAGTCAGAAACGGAAGATGAATATATATATATATATATATATATATATATATCCTGTTAGGCTTTCGAGTTTTCTGCTCAGCATGCAGAAAAAAGAATCCTCCTCCTCTTCATTCATTAATTTTCTGCAGCCCGACGAAAAGAAAAAAAAAAAAAAGAGGAAAGAATCCTCCTGCCTGCTCTGTCATTTTAGTAAATAGCTCATCAGGATTAAATCTTCATTTTAAACTTCCTCCTAGGATTTGTGAGACACTAAAGAATGACCCGTCGGTGTCATAAAATAAGGTTATTTTTGATGAGCCGTCAGAAGAAGGCAGAGCAGATGGGCAGAGGACAGTTGGAAGGCATAAATCGTCTGCTCCTTTTCATGTATGATGCGTATGCCCTTGGTTACCTAGTAACTCTTTTTCCTCTCCATCTCCGGTTGGCGCTCCCGAAAGCACATTCCGCTCGGGACAGCGCGGCGCGCCCCCGCGATGCGCGCGTTGAGCTCGAGGAGAGTCAAGGCGTCAAAACGCACCAGGACTTGGAGGAGGAGAGCTTCCTATTGGGGGGGAAAAAAAGAATTATATACCTCTTAAAAATAATCTATATACTRATAACTAAGATGGAAAGAATCCTGAGAGCGGAGAGAGGATGATGATGGGGGCTTCAGAGGAAGGTCATTCCCAGAAACCAGAAGCTTTGTTCTGACGCGGATATTTGGAGTACACAGGCTGCAAGTGAAGACATTTGTCCCTGCTTTTTATACCCGGCACGGCATGGAAGGATTCGGACCTGGACAAAGCAGGTGAGTCATTTCAAGACTTCTTCTTCCAKGGCTGTCTGCGTGGAGAGAGCGCGAGTCCGGGGGATGCAGCGGGGGGCGGGCGGGGGGATACGGCACGCCGGGGCTACTCGGATTGAAACGATTTGACTACTTCTTCTTATTATTCTGTTTTAATAAAAAAATAGAGTTTTATATTTCACTGCAACACCGACTCAGAGCCTCAAACCTGCACGAACGCTCGGCACGCGCTTTGGATGAACGCTCGTGAAAAAGACGCAACATTAGGAAGCGGATCTCCCCCCTTTCTTTTTTAGATCAATCCAGCTGTTTCCCCCCACATATGTGCATAGAAACAAAGTGAGCTGTGGAGTCCACGCAGTGAACACAACGCAGGTGAAAAATGTTCAGGGCACTTGTTACTTGGCCATAAAGACATCTTGTGCGCGTGATGGAGCAGTGACGCGCAGTCACTCTGTCCTTTCTCTCCCCCACTCTCTCTCTCTCTCTTTCCCTCTCTTTCTGTATGAAAAATATTTAACAACCCTGGTGACTTATCAGCCTACAGATGGATTTAAAGCAGAAAAAAAAATAAATTATTACTTCTTTTTTCTGTCTTTTTTTTATTTTACTTCTTTTAACAGGAATCACCACTGCCAGTTTTGCAAGATTTGTCCATCAGTGATGAGTGGACATATTGATTTTTTTTTATTTCTCAGTTTTGACTAAATCTATTCTAACAYGGGTGACTGATTTTCTTGCTCAAACCTTACAAACACTTATTTGCCATTCCGATCCATTGGTTTGTTCGATTTGATGCAGTATTTCCACAACGTTCTTCTGTTGCATTCAGTTTATAAATCTGTTCAGTTTTCCTCTAAAAGTCGCACAAATTGCTTTGTAGAAGACTTGCAGGCCTCATCTGCTCCATGAAAATGTGATTATTCCATGGGCACAGGATGGCTCAGGAAAAAAATCTTTGTTCAAAAAGAAATAAAAATAATTATCTGAAAAAAAAAGAGTGCAGGAAGGGGAGAATGTCAAATAAGAGTTGTCATGGTACTAAGTTGACTATAAGTGTCCCCAAAGCCCAAGCATTTAGGAACTAATCCAGCCTTTTATTCGCCTTGTCTGGCACACTATGGATGAAAGAGGCTCTTAATTGGCRATAACACTCACACATATGGACTTCCCTGTTCTGGTTGCACATATTTAAGTTTGAATACAACTTTTTTTTAAAATGTATGTTCATTTGCAAGCAAGTTCATTTATATTGTATGTGTTTCTTGAATATCATGTGAGGGATTATGCATGCTGCTGCTGCTGTGGCTGCTTGTTAATTCTCTCTCCAGCCTCTCTTTCACTATTTGTATTCCAGTCCTGCTGTTTAAAGCTCCCTGCTGTTTTAATATCCACTCTTGACTTTTTTTTTTTAGTGTGTGTGTGAAATTTTTCTTGGATGTACTTGGGCAGTGTAACAATCACTGAGACTTCATTTACTAAAAAAAAAAAAAGACAGATTTTCACTCGAAGCAGTGGGAGATTAATCACGGAGAGAAAAGCTGGCTGAATATGTTCGTTTGGCTGGCTGGATTACGCTGGAATCGAGATGTGGTCAACGTGTGATCACTGACCTGCACAGGGACTAACACACACACACACACACACAC